AAGAGCTTCTGCCTCTGAACCAAGTTGGAAAAAGGGCTCGACACAGGGGCCCCTCCCGACTTCCTCCCACCAAGACCCCCCCTCCTTGGAGGGAGAGAAATCCTGGGCTTCTGGGGGGGGAGGGAAGGAAGAGGAGAGGCAGAGGACTGTCCAGGGAAAGGGCTGCCAGTCAGGCGCCCAAAGAGGAACTCCTGGCCAGCTAGGGAGCCGGGAGGGGCCACAGGGTCAGCAAGCCCGGCAGGGGGAGGAGGAAGGTGTTGCCTCCCCCTTACAACCTTTGAGAGGGACCCATTTTGGAGGCAACCATGGTTGGCCCTGCCCAGCTGGAACCTCCTCCCTGCTTGCCACTCGCTTGGAGACAGAAGCCGGAGCGAGGTCACAATGAGCCTCCAGGAAGCCGTCGGGCGGGGGGGGGGGGCTCCGCTCTACACACAGTCTCCCTTCACCGCAGGGACTGATGTTCCGTTGTCGTTCATAGGTGGTCCTCGACTTAAGACCACAACCAAGCTCAACATTTCTGTTGCTAAGCAGGACAGTTGTGAAGCGGGTTTTGCCCTGTTTTACCACCTTTCCTGCCACGGTCATAGGTGAATCACCGTCATTAAGTTAGCCACATGGCTGTTAAGCAAACCTGGCTTCCTGTCGGCTCTGCTCCTCAAAGGTCACAAAAGGCGATCGTGTGTCCTCGGGACATCGCGACCGTCATAAATATGAACCAGTTGCCAAGAATCCAAATTTTAATCACGTGATCACGAAGCTGTAACGGTCGTAAGTGTGAAAAATGGCCCTAAGTCCCTTTTTTCAATGCCACTGTAACTTGGAATGGCCACTAAAGGAAAGGTTGTAAACCGAGGACCACCTGTTCTGAACTGGCAGGTAAGACATTTGCAGGTAAGGTCCAATCAGCCGCTGAGGACTTGGCGCAACGGATGGGGCCTCCCCAGCAAGGAAGATCAGGAAGGGGTGGCTGAAGCCCCCCTCCTTAGGAAATCCTCCTGGGCTTTGATTGACTTCCCTGGTCTGAAGCCAGCCCCCCCCCCGCCCCCAAACTTCCCAGTTTCTGGATTCAGAGGACATCGTGCTCCTGTCCATTTCTCCTGCTAATCCCTCCCACCCAGCTTGGGCGGAGGGGGGGCGTTCCTGGGGGAGGTGGGGGGGAAGAGCTGTCTGAACCTGGGAAAGGTGACCCCCAAACAGGAAAGTTCCATTGAGGAACCCCAAGTCTGCTGTTTCTGATAAGACCTCTTTGCTTCCTGGGTCTTTTGCCCTCTCATTCAAAGGACAAAACAAAGCTCTCGTGTGTGTGTGTGTGTGTGTGTGTATGTGTGTGTGTGTGTGTTGTGTCTGTACATAATGCACTCAGGTACCACCTAAAACACGGATGTCCAACCTTGGCAACTTTTAAGACTTGTGGACTTCAACTCCCGGAATTCCCTGTCACCTAGAGAATTCTGGGAGTTGAAGTCCCCAAGTCTTAAAGTGGCCATGGCTGGACACCCCTGCTCTGAAACCAGAGCTGCTTCGCTGAGTCTTCTGTTTGGACAGGGAAGCAGCCTTCGGGTTTGAGGCCCTGCTATTTTAGCAAATTCCGCAGCTCAGAAGCATGGAAGAATTGACTCTTTTAATCTGAGGGGCTGGCTTGCACCCCTGAGCTCTGCTTTGAAGAAGGCCAATGTGGGCTGCTCAGTTCTGGGCTGAATCTTCACCGTCCAGCTCCAGCTCCCTGGAGACCCAAAAGGGAACCTGGGGGGGGGGGGGGATTTGGCAAGCCCAGCTTCCTGTGCTTTGGGAAGGAGCAGGCTTGATGGCTCTAGAAGCAGCACGCCAAACCCCCAGCTGGCCGGAAGTGACCCTCAGACTGGCTCTCCACTTGCTGAGGTTTTACAAACAGAAAAGTATGGAAGGCAGAAGGGAAAATCCGAACTGATAACCAGGCTTGGGTGTGTCCTGGCAGAGGAAGGGTTTAAAGTAAGTAAAATTCACTAGCACTGATGCTGTTGCCTAGTTGGGTAATGAAACGTCTGCGAGAAAACAAGCAAGCTCAGAGGGAAGTGGATTTGATAATGGTCAAGATTTTCTACTTTACTCTTTGCTAATTTTGAGTGAACTTTCTTTCCGGAAAGGCAGAAAGTCAGTGGAAACAAAGCGGGTGACCATAAGACTCTCCCTCCCTTCTATTTTCCAGCCTCCCTGCTGCCTGGGAAACTCTGGGACTTGAAGTCCACCCATCCTCAAGTAGTTGTCAAGTTCAAAAAGCCCCATTCTAAAGGCCTGCAGCTTATTGCCTTTGCCTCAGGACCGCAGCTGTAGAAAAGAACAAAACTTTTCCTCTCTACTCTGGCTGCAAGGCAGGGGTAGCGTCTGTCATCATGCTGAGCCTGCAGGCCCTGCTTCAAAAACCTCTTTTGTGTTTCTAGAGGCCTCCGAGCTGGCCTGTACTCCTAACCTGACAGGACTAAGGACTAAGTCTGGATGCCTTACATGCATCAGTGCTTTTCCTGAAACTCCAGTCCGCGCCTTATTTCTAAGCTCCTGCATGTTGGCTCTTCCCAGTCCCCTCACTCCTTCCCTTGCCCTCTCTCCCACCTAACCCCCTCCCCACAAGAAGGAGGAAGGTGGGTCTATCCATAGTCAGGAATAACTTTGGAAACTAAGTTAGAGCAGGGATGTCCAACCTTGGCAACTTTAATACCTGTGGACCAACTCCCAGGATTCCCAGCCAGCTCTGGCTGGGGAATTCTGGGAGTTGAAGTCCACAGGTCTTAAAGTTGCCAAAGCTGGACATCCCTGGTTAAGAGAATGAACACAAAATGTGACACTGCACACCTTTCAATAAAAAAACACTAAGTTTTCATTGAAGAAGGAAACCCTGTATGCCTGTTTGGATGAAAGTATGATTATTATTTAGCAGCCAGAAGAAAAAGTCGTAGCAAATTTGATTCTGCATGGCTCCTACCAAGGGAATCATTAGGACATAGAAGGAGAAATGATCCAGCTGGCTTCCCTCGAATCTCTGAACCAAGCTTACTAAACTATCCAGCAAACTTAACCATTGTGTACTAACTGCAAGGGCTACCAAGACTTGTATTTTTCTCTCACACACAAACACACAAACAGAATGAAATCAAGATTTCCTTACAAGCTTCTGAGAAACAAATAAGAACTGGAGCAGGCAAATTCATGAATGGCGACTGTCTGGTTCTAGCTATTGCTGATAAGAGCCTCCATGTACAGGTATCGTATATCTTTCAAACTAACAGCATAAGGAGGAGCAAGGGCTCATTTATCTCTCAGGCCTGGCTTAGCCTTAGGCGCTTCCTAAAAGCATGTAGACCCAGGATGTTGGGCAGGTCAGCCATCCCAAAACTGGTCTCTCCAAGTGACCCTTGAATTTCATAATTCCCTAGCTACAAGAATGTCTGTGGGCTTTCTTACTGGGGATAATGGGAAGTGGAATCCAAAGCTGCTCGAGATCTATTTGATAGGACTGTGTGGTTGCATTAAACAGAAAAGATGCGTCTGGGACACCCTGCAAAACAGGGAACAGCCAAACCCCATTTTCTCCCTGCCAAAGACCCTTCCCCTAATAAACAACTGCAGAGGCTCCTGGCCGCCCCGCCGGGCTTCTGGTGCGGCTCTTCCGGCCAGGTGAATCCCGGCGCGATGCCGCCTCCGAGGCCCACCTGGCCGGCCATCGAGACGGCGCTTCCTCTCCCGAGGCTCCTCCGTCTGGACTTCCGACCGGTGCCACATTGATCCGCCTTCCGGAGACCCGCCCAGAGACTCTCTTCCCGGGGGCTGCAGCTTCGGAGCGCCCCGCGGAAGGGCTGAGGTGGGGCGGGGGCGCTCCCGGGCTGCCCGCGATGACTAAGGCGGCAGGCAGGAAGCAGCGCCCGAGGCGGGAGGGCGCCGGCCTGCCGCCTGGGTCTCCGCTTGCCAAGGGCTGGCAGGGCCTGTTTGCCTCGGCCAGAGACTGCCCGGGCTGCGCTCTGCACATGCTCGAGTCCCCGTAGGGTCACGCGCAAGTGAGGAAAGGGCCTCTCGGCCGATCCCGGAAACACAGCCAGACGGGGGTCTCTGATCGGTGCCTCCCCCATTTGCAGAGGAGCAGGTGGGGGCAGGTGGCACTCGCCCACGAAAAGCCCAGCACCAGGCAACTTCGGGCGGGGGGCTGGGGGGGCATATAGCCAGAGAGTCCGAGCTGGGCCCCCAACAGGGATGTGGATTGCCCCCCCCAAGCTGACATCTCCCGCGCGGCTCCTTCGCAAGACCCCCCTCCGCTCCGGCCCAGCCCGCCCCACGCCCCCCTCGCCCCCCGCTGGGATCCCCGCTTCCTTCCGAAGTGCCCGACCAGGTCGCAGCGGGGGCGCTCCCAAAGCCCACCCAAGTCTCAGGTGTGCCCCCCCACCAGGTCGGCGGGTGGGGGAGAAGCGACGGCAAGCGAGGCCAAAGGGCACGACTGCAAAAGCGCCCGTCAGCTGGCGGGGGGGCTCCATTCTGTCCGCCATGCGGGGCTTCCAGGTGCCTCTGGCGGGGGGGAGGGGGCGGGATTGCACGAGGGCAGCCCTCGCTTCCCCCTCGCCTCTGCGGGAAGGGGTTACCCAACTTCGCGCTTCCGGAGGAAGGAGCGTGCAGAGCCCGCATTCCACTCCGGAAAGCGGACAGGATCTAGTCCGGCGAAGCCCCTTCCCCACGCGGAGCAGTCGCCCCATTTCCGGAACGAGGAGAGCCCCCCCAGGAGCCCTTCGCCAACTTCAGCAGCCGCAGCCACATCGGAGCTGCCCGCGAAGCGGGGGAGGCGACCCTTCCTCTGCCCCGCCGCCCCCCCACCCCGCCAGGCAGGGCCGGAGGGCCCGCCGCAGTCCGAAACTGGCTGCTTCTTCGGGGCGGGGACGAGCCGGGAGCCCCGCTGCCGCCGTCTCGCCCGCCGCGCAGAGCTGGTGGCGGGCCGGGCAGGGCAGGGCCCAGACAACAAAGGCGGCCGCCCGGCAGGTACTGACCTCATGTCTGCTGCTTTGTGCGCGGCGCTGCAGCCTCGGCAGCTGCTGAGCGGCTGCTGCTGCTGCTGCTGCTGCCGCCGCTGCTCTCCCGCCGCCGCCGCTTCCGCTTCCCAGACCTGGCTGGGTGGGGACGTGGGGGGGGCCGGCCCGGGCTGCTCCCCCACCTCGGCCGGGCGGCCTCCGCGCTCCGTCGCCGCGGGCTGCGTTCAGGCGGCAGCTGCCCCCGCCGGGAAGCCCTCCGACCGCGCCCGCCGGCCGCTTCCTTCCACCCCTGCGCCCGCTGCTGCGGCGCTCCCGGCTCGGCGCCCCCGGGGGCTCATGGCCCCGATCCCGCGCCGCGCAGACCCAGGCCGGGCGGGGATGGCAGCCAGGCAGGCGCGCGCCCGCAGGCCAGCCGGGGCGCCCCGCTCGGCCTCCGCCCGCTTTGATCTGGAGGCGGCGGCGGCGGCGGTGTTGCCCGGTCGCTGCCCCCCTCCTGTCCGCGCCCGCTCGCATGCCAGCCCGCCGCTTTCCACAATGCGCCGCTGCGGCGCCGCTTAAAGGGGGCGAGGCCAGCGCGCTTAAAAGGGCACCGCGCGTGGCGCCGTGGAGGGCGGGGGTCTCCCCGGTGGGGGCGTCAGCGCGGGCGCCGGCTCTGAGCGGCGGGGGTCGCCCACCCGGTGCGCCGCTTCGCGCAGAGCCCGCTCTGAATCCGCAAAACAACCTTGCGAGGTAGGACAGACTCCTTCGGGGCGCGCGGTAGCCTGCCGTGGGCGGGCCTGACTGGAGCCGCCGTGCCCGGGAGCAACGCCGAGCCTAGCCAAAGGCAGCCCGGCCTCCCGCCCGAAACCGCGCCGGCGACTTTCGCCCTCCCGCCCGCCTTTCCAGCCAGGCGAAGCTGAGCGGGCCGAGCCCGGGAGAAGCGTCCCACTTGCGGGATCCAAGAAAGCGTCGGGACCCTCGAGGGGGCTGGCCGATGGCCTGGAAGGCAGCACCAGCTGCTGGGAGCCCCCTCGGAACCCCTCCCCGCTTTGGGGGCTGGTCAGGCAGCAGCTGCTTGGTCCTGGGGGGAGGCTGGGGAGCCAGGTGGTCCCCCCCCGTCTCCCCCCCTTCTGCTGGTGCCACAGCTGGTCCCCGTCCCCCCCCCCTTGCAGGAATGGTGTCCTGGCAGTTGGGCCCCTGTCCTGCTGTCTCCACTCAGGTTTTCTGCCTGTGCAAGTGCAGCACATTTCCTGAGGGGGAGGCAGGGGAGCGCCCTCTTAAATGGGGGGGGGCTGAATTATTTTCATCTGTATGCTTAGAAGATCCTTTTCTCCTGCTTCCCCTCAGCTGCTGCCAGGCCCGAGAGGCTAGCCGTCCCATACAGGGGGAGGCCAGCTCTGTCCAAGGGCAGGGCTGGCACCTGCTTCCTCCAGTCCTCTGTTTGGATTGTGGGAGGGGAGCCAGGCCTGCCCAGGGCGTTGGCATCCCAGAGCAGTAAGTGCTCGGTGGCCTTTTTGTGCCAGACGAGACCCCCAGTCCTCGTGCACTGTTGATTCCCACGTACTTACAGAACACACATCTGTACCCACGTTTGTGGTTTCAGAACACACATCATTGCAAATATGGGGGGCAGAGCATCCTCCCTGGAATTAACTGTGCAGATCCCTCAAAATCAATGAGGTCAAGCAACTTTACTAATTTGCAGAAGGCAAGTACAGCAGCCAGTCGGGCAGGAGCATCACATACATTGCCCCAAACCCCACCACCGGGTGCATGTGGGGGTCAGCAACAGTTCCCATTCTTATTCTGCGAGCTGCCAGTTGGCTGAGTTCCGTGGCTGCCCTTCACGGCTGGTATCCTCGAGGCACCTGGAGCAGGAGGGCCTGCTGGGGCACCAAGCTGACCACCTCCACGTTGGCGTTTTTCTGGGGTGTGGCATGGGTGCTGAGCACCACCTTGGCCTGCCCCGGGAAGCTGAGCTCTGTCAGGCGGAGTTGGGTGGGCTGGTTTCCCAGGTTGAGGATCACCAGGAGGCTGGAGCAGGCGCCTGGCCGGAGGAAAGCCACCAGGTCCTCAGCGTGGCTGGGCAGGGGTAGCAGGGTGAAGTCGGTGTCGTGTAAGGAGAAGGACTTTGCATGCAATTCCAGGAGGGACTGGTACAGGCCTGCCAGCGGGGCTCTGCGGGGCTCTCCTTCCTGAGGGGGGGGAGGGGGGGAGAGAGAGAGAGAGACCACAGCAGCTGAAACGGCTGTTCTCAGTCCCAGGAAGCACATGGGGAGTTCATCTGGAACGACAGCCTCCCTTTGGTAGCTATTCCATGGTAACAGTGGTTAGAATGCAGTATTGCAGGCTATCTCTGCCCATAGCCACAAGTTTGATCCTGACCAGCTCAAGGTTAACTCAGTTTTCCAGCTTCCGAGGTCAGTAAAATGAGGACCCAGATCGTTGGGGGCAACATGCTGACCCTGTAGGCCCCTTAGCGAGGGCTGCAAAGCAGCAGTCCATAACCATTCTGGCAGCAAGGACCAGTTTTCTGGAAGACAAATTTTCCATGCACCCGGGGGGGGGAGGGATGGCGGGATGGTTCCACGTGCAACCTAGATCCCTGACACAACAGATAAAGCTTTGCTTGCTCGCCTGCTGCCTGTGCGGCCTGGTTCCCAACAGCCCAGGGATCTGGGCAGGTCCGCAGCCCGGAGGTTGGGGAGCCCCGCTGGAAAGCGCCATGAAGCAGAATGCAGGTCTGTGCTGTTGCTCTTATTCAGAGGTCAGCTGGTTGCCCCATCATACAAACCACATACAAAACAAAGCTCGGCTCTCACAGATCCTGAAGTACGCACCCGGTGGTCTCAGGCAGGGTCCCCCCTCCCTAGAAGCGGTTTACGCATTTTGCTGAGAACGTCTCCAACGGCAGCCAGCCACGTGCCCTCCGATGGGAATAAAGCCCCATTCTCCTCCGGAGTGCCACTGAGTAGGCCTGTCCTTGGCCGCCAGCCTGGCCTGTGCTCTCTGGAACCTGGACCTGTGCCCACATGGGCTTCCCTGGGTGCAGTGGCTGTGGGGTGATGGGGTGACGTCAGATGCCCAGTCATGTCATGATTTGCAAAATGCTACCCTGGCCTGTCTCGTCCATCTATGTGGGTGGCTCGTGTGTCCACTGCATGGCCCTGTATGAAGCTTCGAATTCCACTCCGGTTAATCAAAACTCTGAGCCAATTAGAAAAATATTTCTGACATAAAAGAGTTCACATTAAAAAGAAACTTTTAAAACCAGTAATAAAGCAGCACGTTCTCCTGAAGTTGGGTTTCAGAGGCTAAAATAATATAATGACTCTTTCAGGGAAACAGTATCCCCATATACGGTTTGCCTAACCAGGGTTTAAAACATGGCTAGATTAATACGAAGGCAAGTGACACCGGTTAGTTTTCATCTAGTGTGAAGTGGGTTATTGGTCTACTTTTTACTGCTGAAGCTGCCCCTAATTCGAGATAATGTTGATAGTGATATAGTTTTCCCCCAGTGACTTTGGGCCTTTTTAGGAAATTGGACGAAGGTGGATTGGAACAGGGGTCTCCAACCTTGGCAACTTTACAACGTGTGAGCTTTATAACTCCCAGAAGTCCTCAGCCAGCATTGCCAAGGTTGGAGACTCCCAGACTAGAAGACCCCCAAGGTCCCTTCCTTCCAACTCTGTTTTTGGAGGGGTGAAAGTGGACCTTCCCCTCCCCCCACCAAGGAGAGATTCTTATCTGGCACAGTTGCAAAGGCTGAGGATTGGCCAGGCCTTGGGGGGCTTTTCTCACCCTCAGCTCGGACTCCAGCAGAAGCGGTGATCTTGGTCCCCCTTGCACCAGTGGCACTCCTGGGAGGGTGAAGAGCAGCACCCCAAGGATTTTTTCCCAGCCCCCGATGGGCGAGAGTCCCCTGGGCACCTGAAAGAAAGCACGAAAGGAGCATCTCTGGGCCCTTTGGGTCCTCCTGCTCTGGGCCCAGCCGCCTGGATGCCCTTCCCTCGCCTCTTCCCAGCGGCCCGGGCCTGTCCCAAGCTCTTGCTGGCATAGCAGATCCCGCCTGGATCGTTGCCTTTCCATGTTGGTCGTGAGAACTGGATTCCACCCATGTTCCTATAAACAGCTTTGGCTTCCAGTGTTTTGGTGTGCCTGCAGCAGAACCAGCCAGACCCCCAAGGCGTGCCCAGAAACCCCTTCCTTACTGCCCAGCTGGGCCACGGTGTGCCCGGGAGCTGCAGGGATCCCTGTGCCAGTTGCAGCAGCGCCTGAGCAGAGAGATTTTTCTGGGTTCCAGGCAAGTGGCAGGTGAGGATGACCCTGCTGGGCATCCTGTGAGAAGTGCTGCAGGTCTCACTCCGGTCCCACACGATGAGGGCCCTGCAAGGGAAGAGCAAAACGGACTCTGTCCTGGCACCCCACGCCTGCACTCCCCACTGCTGCCACCAGGGGTGCCCGCCCTGCTGGAACGAAGGGGGAATTGCAAAATAGGGGAAAGGCCACCGCTCACCCCTCCTCCCGTGGATCGCTCTGCCTCCGGTCATCAAGGGCGCCCCAGGCACTCAAGACCTGCAATCACAGTTCACAAACATCCTTCACTCCCCAATCCTGGGCTGTTTAAGGTAGAATCACTAAGGTGTCCTGGGCTGGGGACTCTGGGCTGCCTCTCTCAACAGGTCTCCTGCGCATCAGCAGGGCTCTGGTTTGAAGGCCCATTGTCCTTGTTCCAAGTCTTCCAGATTTTAATCACAGCAGCAAAACATCAGACAGTGAAGTGGTCCCATTTCCACTCTTAACATATGCAGCAATTCACATTTTATAACTCCATTAAACAACAATACATCATTCCCCTTAAAGTGCGCTCTCAGCTAAGTATTAAAATATTTTTTTAAAAATTGCTGACATGAAAGTACAGCAGAGTACTTTAATGATACAGTGCAGTAATTAAAAAATAAGGAAAGCTTCCGGGTTGCCATTTTAGCAGTGTGGCTTCTTAAATCTTTCCAATCTGTAGTTCTGAGACAAAACTGAAGCTCCCTTTCCTGTACAGGTCCCGATGGGTGGTGGGTAAGGAAGCCTGAGGGAATAATGCACGTTCTGTATTCATTCAGTAGAGTTTTTGGGGGAAGGTTTACCCCTTCTCTCCCAAGCCCCACACCAAAGAGGTCAGATCTAGAGGGATACCATGGGTTTGGATGAGTGTGTGTGTGCCTGCCTGTCTGCTTTTTTGTGCACACATGCAGCAAGGAAAATGCAATCTCCCTGCAGCACAGAAAGCGAAGAGCCTCACACCACCATGCCCGGAAATGGCCTCTTCCCTCCCCCCCCATCAATTGTTTCAGCAATAAAATGAAATGTAAATAGTTTAAAAACTAAAGTTTATGTTTTGTTTGCTGTCACTGCAAGAAGGGATACTTCTAGCCAGGAATTCCCATAAGATACCTGTGCAGCTATTTCCATGTTTTTTCTCCTTTACTGATAAACTACAGACAGAAAAAACAGTCAGAAGTAGCATAAAAACAAGCAGGCTGACGTCCCTTGGATCCTATAAAAGGTTACGTTCTATAAAAGCGTGTTCAGAAGCACCCAAATGCAGCAGAGAGAAAAAAGGAGGCCTAAAACGAAGGGATTCTGCCTGGGGTGTGCAGAAATTGGATTACTGGTTATTGTATACTAGGAAGGTTAGGCTTATGCATTGCAACAAGAACATACATATACAATACAAATACAGACAAACACATACATATACAATACAAATGCATATACAACAAGTTAAGTATACACCGTGCTACACCTGTTTTTGCTTGGCATTCATTGAATAAGCCACAATAAGTAGGGATTACACATCACATTAACACTAAATCAGGGGTTACTAGCCACGTGGACTTCCTAGAGGATGTTATGCCCAAACAAAACGAGCCACACCACGATTTAGGGTTGTTACTACAAGTAACCCACATTTCAGGTTGATTTCCAGTAGTGAAACTCACCGTGAGGAGGCGCCAGGCAGGGTCCTTGGCCACCAAAAAACCGTGCACACCTTTGGACTGCCAAAACTGTAGGGCCTCCTGCAGGATAAGGCCGAAAAGAGAAGGGAATGGAGGCAGAAGCCCAGGGGCCCTGGCTGGAAGTCCCCGAATAGAGTGAGACTGACCTCTGGGCAAAACCCGCGTTCCTCAGCAGAGAACAGAACCAGGGTGTGGAAAAGGACAACTTTATGCTTGGAAAAGTGCAGAACTAAGCCAGCCAAAGGGATGGCTTTGCCCCCTCTGCAACCGGGATGTCAATCCCTTCGGTCCGATTCCAAGCCATGGTTGACTGGCATGGAGAATGGAGGCCACCCCATCCCCCACCTCCCAGCCCCAGCCCACCTCTGAACCTGCGGGAGCATTCAAATGCCGGGGATACCTTGAAGAGCTGGGCTGTTTGATTGCTCTCAGTTGTTGGGTCCCCCTCTTCTTCCCAAGGTGGAAGTTCCAGCAGGATTCGGATTCCTGGGTGGTCAGGAAGGAAGAAATACGGGTGGCAAAAAAAAGCAGCCATTGACCCAAGGTTAATTTTTGGAAGCCATCACGGCTGAAAGGTGCACTAATACGAGCCAGCAGTGTGCGGCGGCAGCCAAAAAAGCCAATGTAATCCTAGGTTGCAACAAAGAGGACTAGAGGCTAAAACATAGGAATAAGGGAATTGGAGAGGTCGAGTGAAAAGAAGGACTAGGAGTGACAGGATAGCCGTCTTCCAGTATTTCAGGGACGTCCTCAAAGAAGAGGGAGTCAAGCTATTTTCCAAAGCACCTGAAGGCCGGACAAGAAGCAACCGATGGAAATTCACCAAGGAGAGAAGCAACCCAGAATTAAGGAAGAATTTCCTGACAGTGAGAACAATTAACCAGTGGAACAACCCGCCTCCAGAAGTGGTGAATGCTCCAAAACTGGAAGTTTTTAAGAAGAGACTGGACAGCCCTTTGTCTGAAATGGTATAGGGTTTCCTGCCTGAGCAGGGGGTTGGACTAGATGACCTCCAAAGTCCCTTCCAACTCTGTTATTCTGTTCATAGTTGTATCACTGATTGTAAAACGGTTATCAGACAAAATGAAGGACATGTTTATTCACAGCTTTTAGCCAAAAATTGGAATGACGTTCTTTTGTTTCTAACTGCTGTTCACTGCCCAAAGTCAGCATGTTGACCTGACCAGCCATATAAATGGAAATACATGGATAAAGAAAACAACCAAATGGAGCCTCCCAAGTCAGAGGCAGTCTATCTCAGGAGATAAGAAGACAGGAGAGTGGAAAGGACCTTTTCTTGTTACTGCCTCGGGGTTTTCCTGAGGAACTTCGCCAGCCCTTTGGGGAAGCAGAGCAATCACTGAATCAGTGTGTTTCAACCTGGGCAACTTCCTGTGCACTTGAACTCCCAGAATCTCCCAGGCAGCATCAGTTCAATGGACTGACTTGATCCAGCTGTGGGGATCTCTTGAGGAACCCCCCCCCTGTATTGAGAATAGCAGACAAAGAAGGGGGTTGCTTTGGCCCGTCTCTTTTGTGAGCCTCCCTTATCCTGCCCATTAGCCTTTCCTTCAACCCCAGATATTATCCAGCATCTGGCCTGGATCTCATTTGTCCAGAGATGCTGTCTCTCCGGGACTGTCCATTTTTTTTACCACCCGAGCTGGCCAGGCCAGGTCAAGCCAGGCCCCAAACAGTCCCCTTCTGCTATTGCCCAGCCCAGCCCCTCTTTCGGGGCACCAGGCGCACCACAGCGATTGCCAGCCCCCTCATAGTACCTTGGATCTGGGACCACTGAAAGGAAAGCAGCAGGGGTCTCCGCCCCCACCCAGCAGTCCTGCCCAGTACCTCTCTTGCGCCCATCTCTCGCCAGAGCTTGCAACTGTGCCAGCGATCCGTGGGCAGGAACGATCTGGCTCAGGTTGGCCCCTCTGCCTTCAAGGACGGGGCCCAGCACCAAGGCCTGGATGGGCAGGGCTACCAGCCAGTCCAACTGCTGCCTGATGCCTGCATGGAGAGAAGGGGGCATTGAGGGGCACCATCTTCTTTGAACTAATTTGCCCAGCAGTCGCTTCTTCCTGTCCTTACCTGCCAGGTCTCCCCACCCATCGCCATCGGAGTCCGGGAAGGAGGAGGGGGGCAGGTGATAGAAGGCGGCCTTTTGCCACCAGCCCAGGGGTGGGCTAGGTCGGGGCAGGGAGAGGAGCAGGGCCACGGCCAGGAGCAGCAGGCAGGCAAAGAGGCCGCCCAGCAGGCTGATCAGGGCTTTGCGGAGTCCGGGCCAGGGGGCGGCACTGCCCTGCTCGGCCACTTCCTGCTGGCTCAGGTAGGTGGCGTTAGGGGCCGCCTGGGCCAACAAAGGCAGGTGCTCACTGGGCACGAGGGTGGCACAGTCTTCCACTTTTCCCATTCTTCTTCACTCCTTGGGGCACGAAGCTGTGGAGGGTGGAAGAGAGAAGGAAGAAGCGGATGGAGGATGAAGACAAATCATGCAGATGCCAAAATACAGGACTCAATCCAGTGGGAAATTCCACAGCTGCAGCCCCATTGAAATGGGGAGGTGGTGAGCCCATGCAAGCGAAAGATTGGTGGGCTTAGACACTGTGTCTTCAGCAGGCTGGGATCCCCACTCGGCTGCTAATCCAATGAAGGGGGCTACATTTTGGCTCACTGTAATGTGGGGGTTCCTCCCTCCTGCTGCCCCCCCCCCCCATTGGAAGGCCTTGTTGCTTCAACAGCAATGAAGTTTGCTGTCTCCAAGTCCTTCTGGGTGGGAGGATGTGACCAGACTGCCCCCGTTTCTTCAAAGATCCCAGCCCTCCTCGCCCACTGGTCTCCCCTGCCCTTCAAACCATCAGCAGGAGGAGTGACCTGCTGGCCGTCCAGCCTTGGGGCTCCCAGGCCCTCCTGAAGCATCAGCAGACAAATAGCTCTCTCAATGAATCAATCAGAATAGAGCTGGAAGGGACCTTGGAGGTCTTCTAGTCCAACCCTCTGCTCTAGCAGGAAACCTTGTACCATTTCAGACAGGTGGCTGTCCAGTCTCTTCTTAAAAGCCTCCAGTGATGGAGCACCCACAACTTCTGGTGGCAAATTGTTCCACTGGTTAATTGTTCTCCCTGTTAGGAAGTTTCTCCTTAGTTCCAGATTGCTTCTCTCCTTGATTGGTTTCCATCTGTTGCTTCTTATCCTGCCCTCTGGTGCTTTGGAAAATAAATTGACCCCCTCCTCCTTGTGGCAGCCTCTTAAATACTGGAATCCTGCTATCATGTCCCCCCAGTCCTTCTTTTCTCTAGACTAGCCATGTCCAATTCCTGCAACCGTTTTTCTATGTTTTAGTCTCCAGGCCTTTAATCATCTTAGTTGTATGTACTTTTTCCAAAATCTCAACATCTTTTTTGTAATGTGGGGACCAAAACTGGATGTGGCATTCCAGATGTGGCCTTACTGAGCCTTTATGAAGAGGTACTAATACTTCACGTGATTTTGATTCTATGCCTCTGTTTATACAACCAAGGATTAGTGTTTTTGGCTGCTGCCACACACGGCTGGCTCACTGGTGTCTGTGTGGGGAGAGGCTTTTTTTAGGCAGAGACCAGAGACAGCCTGGCTGTCAGAATGTGCTTCCCGATGCTGGCTCCGGACCCCTTTTCAGCTGGCAGCAATGCTTGAGTGCTGCCTACAAAATCCCCCCTCCCCAATCATCAATGGCACTGTTTTATGGATACCCCCCCCCCCTTCCTTCAGCTGCCAGGCCAAAGGGCTGCAGGAAAGGGACACATTCCTCAGGGATTTGTGAAGGCAGGAGAGCCAGGCAACCTTGGACAAAAGTTGTGGTTGGGAGATAAGGAGGTTTCAGAGTTCATCCCTGCGGGAAGCCCCACATTCTGGCACAGACTTGTTTGTTTGCGACTGTGACTGCAGCCAGCATTTTGTGCTCGTGTCTGTGCTAAGGGCAGTTTGCAAAGGCTATCGGGCGTCCCCTTCTATGACCAGCGAAGGCTTGGCCCCGGTCTCTGCTCAGTTCCCCCTCTTCAAAGGAAATTCACACCCCAGCAGTGACAGATTGATATATAAATGTATAAATGTGGCTGGGCAGCCTTGTGATTTTAAGACACACTTTTCAGGAAAAAAAACCCACCTTTCTCTCCTCCTGCTGCTGAACCAGAGGAGGCTGAATGTAAAACACCTTCTGCCCCCTTTTGGGGAGGTACCCTTCTCCCTCGTTTGAGCAAGGAAATCCTAAGCTATGTGGGCCAATGGATGAGTAAAAATATTGTGGACTTGTGGACAACCACTGAGAAGCTTTATTCCATATAAAGGAATAATTTGGAGGTCTACAGATGACATGATAGCACTCTTCCAATATCTGAGGGGCTGCCCCATCACTGGAGGCTTTTAAGAAGAGACTGGACAACCATTTGTCTGCAATATTATAAGGTGTCTTGCTTGAACAGGGGTTGGACTAGAAGACCTCCAAGGTCCCCTTCCAATTCTGTTATTCTATTATTATTATTATTATTCTGTTAATTAGTTCTAGAATATTTGAATGAACCCCAGTGCCCCCTCTAAGCAGCTCCTACGTCAGGAGAGTGGCAAAAGTCATCTGGAGCACTGGAAAAGGCAATTATCACCTCTCCGGGGAAGAACTGTTGTGCCATGACAATGCAGCCACAAGCAGCGAGATTGATTCTGGGAATGGCCAGGCCACGAATGGTCACTGAAAGATTTTCAAGATGTTTGCTCTCTCTCAATCGCCCCCCCAACATGTCTTCCTTCCCAGGGTAGAAATAACGCAAAAGAAGATGGCCAGGACTTCTGCCTAAATTGCACTTTCCCCCCCGCACCCCCCCCCACCCCGCAGCCCCTGCCCTTCCTTACCTTGCCTTCTGCCTGGATCCCCACCTGCAACATCTGAAGGGGGCAGGAAGGGGGCCTGCCAGGCAGGGGCTGATTCTGGTGCCTCCGCCCCCCTGGCCTGATAGGAAGGTGCAGCTGAAGCCTCTTCCCACCCGACCTCTTGCATTCTGGGGAGGGGGCGGGGAGGGGGCAAGAGGCCCAGGCCTTGAGCAGCCATTAGAGCCTTTTGACAATATTTGGACAGCAAAGTGGCCTCCGATCCAGCAGCGGCTTCTCCTCGCTTTGTGCCATCCCTATCTCCCGACCGGATCCCAAGGGCAAACTAAGACCACTGAGCCCATCAGCCCAGGGGCGGCCTCTGAAAGCAGGCAGGCCACAGGCGCTCCTCAGCTTATGGCCATAACTGGGAGCAGAATTTGCTGTGCCCAGCAAGGCAGTTGTTAAATGAGCTGCGCCCAGGTACGTATCTATTAAGTTTATTTGGCCCTCCCATCTCACCACAGGCGAGTCGGGGGGCTTACAACATTACAAACAGTAAAATGTGGGAAATAAATATTATTTAATAGCAATAAAAATATAATTATAATTAAAGATGCAGAGGGAGGGGACAGGATGTGCAGGGTGGGATCTTCTATTGGTCAACCCATTTTCCAAAGCACCAGTGGGACGGCTTCCCTCCAGAGGCTTTGGCTGGAAGTCTTTAAGAAGAGACTGGACAGCCACTTGTCTGAAATGGTGTAGAGTTTCCTGCCTGAGCATGGGGTTGGACTAGATGACCCCCAAAGTCTCTTCCAGCTCTATTCTGATTGAACTACCTCCAGTGTGATAATCCCCCACTGGGGCCCCAAGCCAACTGACTATTGCCGAAGGCCTGGAGGGTGGGAGCATTATTTTGCTACAGTTAAGTGAATCACTGGACTTAATTGAAATGACAGAATAATAGAGCTGGAAGGGATCTCGGAGGTCATCTAGTCCAACCCCCTGCTCAGGCAGGAGATCCTAGACCCATTTCAGACAAGTGGCTGTCCAGTCTCCTTAAAAACCTCCAGTGTTGGAGCAGCCAAAACTCCTGGCCCGCGAGGAAAGGCAGGGGCGCCCCCAAGTCCTTTCCCCTCTCTCCCGGCGGCAGGAAGAGCAGCTGCGAGACCCCCCCACACACACACTCCTTCTCGGCCCTTGAGGCGCCCACCCGGCGGGGGTCCCGCTTGCGCGTGATCCTAGCGCCCCGCCGGCTTCCTCGGCCGGCCTCCCGCAGCCCGTCGAGAGCGCCGGCACGGCCAGGCGGGGCGCCTCCGGCTCCGCTCGACCCGAGCAGGTGCAGGACAGGCGGCGGCGGCGGCGGCCCGGGTCCGCCGGGCGGGGGAGGCGAGGAGCGCGCAGAGGCGGGGGGGGCAGGCTCACAGGCGCGCTCCCCCCGCGCGCGGGAGACGCAGCGAAGGAGGCGGGCCCGCGCGCTGAGTGGCAGGCAGGCGGGCGAGGGAGGGAGGGGAGGCCGGCAGCAGCACCACCTGTCGGGGGGGCGGCCCGGCGGTTCCGAGGCGGCCCGACCCACCCTCCGCAGCGCGGCCGGCTGGCGGCCCCAGACGCTCCCCGCCTCCGCGCGCCATCCCCGCAGCCTCGCCCGCGTCCCCGCCGCGCCGCCTCGCCTTTGTTCCCGCCGCCGCCTCGCCCGCCGTGCGGCCGGCCTCCCGGGACCCTCGCCGCCCGGCACGCGGGGCCTGTCCCGCTGGCTCCCCGGGCCGGATGGGGCTGGCGGGGAGATGAGCGGCGGGCGGCGGCGGCGGGCGGCGGCGCGGTCGGAGCTCACCGCCGCGGCGCTCCGCATGGCCCTCGGGGCGGCCGGCTGCCGGGGCGATGGGGCAGGTCCTGGGATTCGCCCACTGCAGTAGGTGTTGCCCGGGCCGGTCCCCCTCCCCGCCCCCCTCGCGGAAGCGCCCCCTCCCCTCCGGGCTGATACAACCCGAGGCCCCCCGGTAGGCCCGTCCGGCGCCCCCCGCCCAACGGCGCCTTCGCCCTCGGGCCCAGCGGCCGCGGGCTTCCCTTTGCAACCTGGCGCCCCCGTGCACCGCCCTGCGCCCTCTTCACCACCACCCCCCGGGCTGTGGATGCTGGGATGCCGTCCGGCGCAGCTGCCAGGCTCTGGGTGGGACCGGCGGTCGTTTTCCGCCTCGGCCGGAGCGCCGCGGCGTCGTCCGGCAGGCTGCGATCTGGGGAGGGGGCTTTAAGGGGGGCTCCGTGACCTGTATTTCGCGAGTGGCCTGATGGGGAAGGGAGCGGGCTGGACGGACTCAATGAGTGGCTGGGGGGGAAATGGCCGGATGGGCCGCTGCATCAGCAGTGCGAGCGAAGAGGAGGCAGGAAGGCTGGCGCCAGAGGGGGTTCTGCCCCGTCTGTCTGCAGGGAAGGTGGCCAGGTGCAACTCTTTTAAGGAAGGCTGTAGTGGACCTGCACTCGGGGCAACCTTGCCTCTCTTGTGGCTGGGCGGGGGGGGGGGCTATTTGGTATGGATCCTCCACTCCCAGCTGCCTCTGTGCGGATCTCTCTTGCCATGTGGGCAGTGGGGGGGGGGCCTTGGAGCCGCTGGGCCCTGGATAGGTTGCCCCTCTTTTGAGCCGTTTATGTGTTTGGGCTGCCTCCCCCTTGGACACTGTAGGGACCCCAGAGGTCAGTCCCTGTTTTGCACACTGACAGCCCTTTTCACAAGGCGCAAAACCAGGATGGAGTAAGTAACATCCACAAACAGCAGTAGCCAAATATGCAGATGGCTTTGTCCATCGTATGGTCCAGAAATGTTGCTCTGCGACGCTCAAATCTCCTGGCCAGAGTAGGTGCAAAGGATGGCCTCAGGTGGACGGGTAACCCAGTGATGTCCAAGGGGCCATCCCAGACCCTGAGCCTCTGGGATAATCCCACTTTCAAAATGATTCGGAGGCTCCTTGTGAAAGCTAAGTAAGTCTGTTTCTCCCCTCCTCCCCCCCCCCACTTTGCCAGCTTCCAAGCATTTGACTTGACCAGCCATTCCCTGATATTTCTTCTGCTAGCAGTGATGGAAGCAGAAGGAACAGGGGGAGGGAGGGGGGGAGAGTCTGACCATCCAGGGTGTAGCTGTTGAGGAGGCATCAAGTGTTGTTGTTGTGTCTTAGCACAGCCAGGAGACGCAACTGATCCAACCTGGCATGCAGCAATCAAGCCCTGAATTATGAAATGGTATTTGCAAGACTTATGACCCAGACAGGCTGTTGATGGACCAGAATTACGGTGATGGCCTCCCTGCTTCCCTGCTCTCTTAGAAGGCCAAGGCCGGCCCAGCGCCAGGCTATGCCCTGATCTTGCAGAAGCCCCAGTTTGTCTAGTGAGGGAAGCTGGGAGTTCTAGTCCCACCTTAGGTATGACAGCCGTCTGGGGGACCTTGGGCCGGACACTCTCAGCCCAGCTCACCCCCCAGGGCTGTTGTGGGGAAAACAGGAGGAGGAGGTAGCATTAGATACATTCATCGCCTTGCTCATAAAAATAACAAAGGCGGGATATAAAATAAATACTTGGCTGCATGTCCAGAAACGGCTCCTTTTCTTCCCGTCCTGCAGAAGAGTCTCCTTCCACTGCCTCTACCACGCCTGATTCTACAGATGGTGAGTATGCGACGTGCAACGGTGCAGGCTGTGGCTGCCCAAATCCGGCCCTGGCGTTTGTGGCCATGTCACCCGTTGTAGGGAGCAGGTGGCACCAAGTCACGGGCGGAAGCTCCACCTGAGCGGGCTGCTCTTTGGCCTGTGGGGCCTGTGGCTGGATTTGCAGGCCCAGCGCGATTCCGCGTGCTCCCTGCATCCTCTGATCCAGGGAAGGGACCGGGCCGCCTTCCCAGATGCCTCCCCTACTGCAGAAGGGGTCCTTTCCCCCTGCAGGAGCCAACGAGGAGTCCGACTTCCCTGAACTGCAGACGGCACGGGAGTTTTCAGAGGAAGAGGAGGAGGAGGGCTCTGTAGAATGGGGGACCCCCCGGGAGCTGACTTTCTCCTACTTCACCATTGCCACCCCCTCCGGCAGCAGCCCCAGTGCAGCAGAGCATCGGGGCAGGCGTGACTCCCAGACCCGCCGGACAAGGGCTCTGCTGCCCCGCACGGAGACTTGTGAAACTTTTGTGCCCGCCCTGGGGGACAGTTTGGAGAACATTCCCAGCCTCTGCCCATCTCCGGAGGCGGAGGGAGCCCTGCCTTCAGGCGGTGGCCCAGGACTGGACGACTTTCCGTTGGACTGGGATTCCCGGGTGGGCCCTGGCAGGGCCCTGGATGCAGCCGGAGGGGAGGAACAGACATCTCCGTGCCCCACGCCCCCATCGCCAGCAGCGGTGGAGACGGAAGGAGGTAGCAGCACGGCTTGCTCAGGAACAGGTAGGAAAGGAGCGTCTCTGAAGGGCAGCAGAGGCTGGATTCTTCCCTGGCCAGCCATGCTGGGTTTTGCAGGGAAAGGGGCCACGTGGAGGGCCCAGAAGAAGAAAAGACACGGGTCCCTGGTGCCCTCTGGGCCTGGTTGTCTCCTGGCAGGCGTATCGTCAGTCCTAGAAGGCAGTGGGGGTTGGGGAGTGGGAGGAGGAGGAGGGCAACTGTGGAGTCCTTAATGCCATCTGAGCTTGGTTTGTCTTCTTGCAGATGTTTCATGACCCAACCAGGTTGGCTTCTAGCATTGAAGACGTCACCCAGCCGGGCCATGAAACCTCTTCAAGAAAACAGCCAGAGAGCACCAAGGACCCACAATTGAACCCTGGGAGACAGAAAGTGGGGCTGGCCCCTTCCTGTCTCTAGCGGTTTGCCGAAGAGGGAGAGATTTTCTAAAGGGTGGAATCTGGATGGGATTTCTTCAGCCAAAGCAGCATGCGGGATTCAGAGTCCTATCCATCCGTGGCAATATTTGGTCATTTGGGACGCCCAGCTTTGTTTCTGAAGGGAAAATCAGTCAAAAACTGTTTAGCGTGTGGAGAGTTGATCTGTTTATTTTTTCCAACATGGAAAGCAAATCATGCTTCCCGACTGAGGCAAAGAGGGCTCCGTAAAACCTTTCTGGCCCTTTATTACGATGAATTTAAGGGGAAGGGCTGGCACAGTTTATCCCCCATCAGACAGCTCCACCGCTCTTGCCAGGCTGCCCACCAGCTGCCCCCCATCTGTAGGCTGGGTGAAGTGAGAGATCAACCTTCAAAGTGCAGATGCTGGAAATCCAGAGCAGCGGATCCTAACCTCTGTGCCACAGAAACGCTAGTTTGAAAAATATCCAACTCCCCTCGAAGTTGTGCTGAGGGAGCGTTCCTAAGAGTGAGGCCAAAGTGCCGCCTGGGGGGAGACCAGGAGAGGCAGCTGGACTGGGAAGGGCCAGTGGGGAGGGGGCCCCATTGCAGATCTCGGTGCCCAGAGCAAGAGGAGGGCCCTGATAGCGTCTTTTCCTGGTTTTGAACCCTGCTCCAGATGACCCCAGGGAGACCCTCTCTCTACCTGCTGCCTTAGCCTCCCACTCCGAAGCAGGCGCCTCCTGCGGTGCTGACACCCCCCAAGACCGAGCACTGACCTCAGCAGAGTTCTGCCAACCACAAGAGGAAGAGGGGCCCGGCCAGGAACCCCATCCTGAGCAGCTCCACGTTGAACCAGACCAGTCCGAGAACATCCTGAACATCCTAGGTGAGCTGGCTGGCACGAGAAAAGGAGCATTTAGATTGGCCAGGCTAGCAGTTGCCCCCAAAGAACTTTCTATGGTAGCTACAAGGTGCCAAGGAAGTGATAGCCCCCCCCCCCGCTTTAGCCATTTGTACTAGCAACTAACTCAGGGCCAGGCGTGCAATCGGGGGCTTCGCCTTGTTGCAGTGCTGACCCCCACCTGGATGTTTGGGGCATACCAGTCGCTCTGCTCATTCAGAGGCTCTGGAGCTGGGTTGGCACCGGCATTCATCGGGAGCAGGAGTGAGGGAAGCACGCCCCCAGGCTTAGGGGCTTTGCTTGGGGTCTGCCCAGATGCCCCCTCTCCAGCAGGCATGTCAGATTGCAATGCCAGCAAGTTGGCAGAGGGTGATGGGAGAAGTAGTCAAGCTCCTCTAACAGGACCAGGATGGGAAAGGCAGGTCACTTGATTAGGATGCCCAGCATTGAGAAAGAGGCGCTGTGAGGAAGAAGGTTTGTGAGGAAGAGGCGCTGTGAGGAAGAGGCGCTGTGAGGAAGAGGCATTGTGAGGAAGAGGCGTTGTGCTTCTGCTTCCCCACCCGCCTGGAGTTGCAAGAGGTTCAACCTGGGCCTTTTGCAGAGCTACGTAGAAGTCTGCCATTGGCATACAGATAGTCCTCGACTTACAACCTTTCATTTACTGCCCATTTGAAGCTATAACATCACTGAGAAAAGTGACCATTTTTCACGCCTTAGACCGCTGCAGCATCCCCGTGGTCACGTGCTCTAAATTCAGACCCAGCTGGCTCACATGACGGTGGCAGAGCCACGTGGTCCCCTTTTCCTGGCCGCAGTTGTCACTCTGGAGCCCTGCAGGGGAGGGGTGGCCTGGGCTGCCCTCCCGCCTTTGCTGGCCCTAGCAGGGCTGTTTCTCCAAGGAAAGGCCCTTATTCAGGCCCCTGGCGCGGAGCCCGGACTGGGATAGCAGCCGCATCAAGTCAAGGCATATAAATAACCCCAGAGCTGAGCCAAGCAGAATTGGAGCCCTTGAGCCTTCCGCCGCTCTGCCCTGCCTCCCCAGCAAGGACGAGGAGTCTGGGCCTGGCCCAGGCTCAAGAGCCCCCCCCTTGCCAGTTCCCAGCACCAGGCCCCTCTGGGTCTGGCAGAAGAGGCTCCATGGCTGCGAGTGCAGGATTTCGAAAAAGAAACACACCTCTCTCTGGCTAGCGCTGCTGTTTTAATACAGACTGAGCTACCACTCTGAATTGCACCGGTGGCCACACTGGCTGGGCATGATTGTAGCTGTAGTCCAAGGCTTCCTGTTGGCTTTTCTTCAAGCACACAAAAGGAAGGAACCTCTCCTCAGCCAGAGAACTTGTGGCCTTCTCTTTCGGTCGGCTTGGCTGGCTGAGGCCTCCTGGGAGTTGAGCTCCACAGGCCGTAAAGTTGCCAAGCTTGGAGACCCCTGAGTTAAAGCCTGCGTCCTCGTCCCCACTGTCAGAGCTGTCCTTCTCCCAAAGGAGGGTAGGGGTGGCATTGAAGACCCCTGCCTCTCAAATTAGGGTAAAGGGGCTGCTGAAAAGCGATTCGGTCGAGCACCTTCCGGCTCATTCCTGAGATGGTGAGTCCGCAAAGACCATCTCCCTAGCATCTGAAAAAGAGCGGCCTTTTGTTTTCCAAGCTTCAAGTCCTCAAGGCCATGCTTCATGCATAACAGCACCCAAACTCGGAACACCGGAGACAGTGAAAGACATGCTCTCATACCTCGTCGTACATGGAAAACAGTCGCTGAGGCAGCCTTGCAAGCTGGAATGTGGGCACCAAGGCGAAGCCCCCAATCACATGCCTGGCCCGAGTTAGTTGCTAGTGCAAATGGTTGGGGGGGGGCTCACTTCCTGGGTTCCCATGCTCTTGCCGTGCAGGGTCAGCTGGAATCAGTCACTTTGAGCCCCTCAACCCCAGCGTGCCCAGCCCCTTGTTGTTCACCTTCCTCTTCTTTGGGGGGAGATCCTGTACCCCATCTCCAAGCTGCTGGCTCCCCAGCCTGCTGAGGGTGGGCAGCCCCTCCCTTTAAGGCTGGAGCCTGCAAAGCTGCCTCCGTCCAGCAGGACCAAGAGAAGCAGGCAGGGGCTCCGGAGGGGACGAGGCAGCTGGGATTCGTCAGCTAAAAATAGCAACCCCCACCTGTGCTTCCTCAGCCCCCTCCCCTAAGCAGCCCCCCCTTCCAGCCCAGAACTGGTGCTTAGGGAGGTTTCCACAGAGCGGCGAGGAGCCTCAGAACTGCAAGAAAAGGGATCGCCATGGCGAGCACAGGTGGGTCCCCCGTTAGGATTATGTCCTCCGAGCATTGCCAGGCATGGGAATCGGGGTGGGGAGAGGATCCTGATTGAGCCAAGAGGCCAGCTTGTTGGGGGGGGGCTTTAACTGAGTGGGGGCCCTGTCTGAAGGGAGGGAGCCTTTGGGGGAAGAGAAGTGAGGGGCACCATGTAAATTGGGGAGCAGGAAATAAGTCTTGTAGGATACAGTTGCCAGGAGCCCCCAAACTGCCACGTTGGGCCTGCTTCACACCGTCAGCCCTCCCCCAGGACCGTCCGTGCCTCCCCAGATTCCTTAAGGGACTGGACTGCATCTGGGCCTGTCAGTTAAGGGGGGGGGGTAGATTCTGGGACAGCTGCCAAGGCCCTGGGCGTCTCGCCCTCCCCGCCTCCTCCCCCGATGGGTGGGGTTCCTTCACGCCATCTTTGCAGAGCAGGAAAGCCTGGGACCAGCTTCGGAGCAATGGCAGTTTCTCTCGGGGGGGGGGGGAAGAGAGAGAGAAAGTGAAAATGCCAGCCAAACGCCCGTCTCCCACTTCTCGCCCACCCTGGGCTGCGTCTGCAAGTGGTTGCATCCAGGGTGGAAGCTCCAGCAAGGAAAAGTCGGCCAGGGTGTCTCAACCCATGCAGAGTGCTTGCCATGGGCAGCCACGCCTGGCAGGGGGCAGAGGCTGTGGGGTGAGGGGTCGTCGGCATCTCCTTTTTAGGAAGGTGGTGGTGGGGGGACCGGGAGGGGCCTCCAAGCTGTCTTTTTGCAGCGGGGGGGAGCTGCACCGGTGTGGGTCAGGGAGACGCTGCTGGGGGTTGGGATTGCCCCCTCCTGCCTCCTGGAATGGGAAGCAGGTAGCCAGACCAGGCTGATGGTTCAACTGGCATCCTCCAGGGGAGCCTCATGCCTTTGACCACAAGTGACCAGATGTTTAAAGGGCAGGAAGCCCAACCAGAAACAGCAGCCTCGTCCTGTTTAATCAGGGCCCCTCAGCTCTTCTTTTTAGGATGGAGCAAATTTTGCTTAATGTTAAACATGGGTGGAGGGGCGGAGGGGGGCAACCTGCATAGGCTTCTTATTCAGAAACTCCCCCCCCCCATTTCCAGGACGCACACAGTTCAGGGCCCAGACTGACCTTTTCTTCATTTCTTGTCTGAAACCAAACTTTGTGTCTGGTGGATGTGACATCGCAAAACCTCCATCAGGTTTAAGGCTTGAAGGAAGGAAGAAGCAGGACGGGGGGAAGTCTAGTAAAAAAAGCCCCAGAGCCTCACACAGGGACAAGAGGAGCAGATAAGTTAGTCCAAATGTCTCCTGCTTCATCTAAATTCAGTTCTGTGGGGCTCGAGGTGGGGTCTGTACATTAATTAGGGGGGGGGGAGAAGAAATTGGTGTGGCAGACTTGCTGCTGTGCCAAGTCTGAGGTTGTAGATCCTAGTGGCATCAGCTCTTGAGTTATTGTGCATTGTTCATGAAGACTAGCAGCATGGACGTTTTGTTCGGTCTCCCTTGAAAGCAAATCATTATTTTATTATTCCTTAAACGCAAATGCCGCCCACCTTACTATCAAGCGACTCCACTGTACTTTCCCAGGATTGGCAGCTTTTGATTGCTGGCCGCAACTCATTTGTGCTTTGTGCTGACAGTTAGAACAATTAACCAGTGGAACGACTTGCCTCCAGAAGTTGTGGGTGCTCTGGAGGTTTATAAGAAGAGATTGGACAGCCATTTTTCCCGAATGGTATAGGATAAGGGTGTCTGACTTGGAAACTTTAAGACTTGGGGACTTCAACTTCCAGAATTCCCTAGCTGTCTGGGGAATTCTGGGAGTTGAAAACCACATGTCTTAAAAGTTCCCAGGTTGGACACCCCTAATCTAGGGTCTCCTGCTTGAGCAGGGGGTTGGACTAGAAGACCTCCAAGGTCCCTTCCAACTCTTATTCTGCTTCCCCTGCAGTGGCCGACTTGGTGTACTGGCGGGACACCCGCACATCGGCCTTGGCGTTCACGGCGCTGATGGTGGCCCTGCTCTGCCTGATGCACTTTAGCATCATCAGCGTGGCCTCCTACCTCTCCCTGGCCGCCCTCGGCATCACCATCTCACTCAGAGGATATAGCAAGGTGCTGCAGCTAGTCCGCCGGGGAGACGGGCACCACCCCTTCCAGTGAGTAGGCCGGGCTCCCTGGGAGGTTTGGGGGATGGCTGGGGCACCGAGGGAAGAGTCCACCAGTGGGGTGACTTCATGCTCAGGTCTTGTGGCCTGGCTGACCTCTGGGGGTTCCTACTGGAGGGGCACAACAAGACAGCCCCCCTTACAACAGGATGCTGCCCTCCTGGTTTGAATTGGGTGAACGTGGGCGCCTTGCCCTCCCTGCAGTGGGGCTGCTGTTGTAATCCCAGACGATCCAGCCAAGGGGTTGGTCTCCCTGGCTCTTGGGCTGCCAGGGACCCCAATCTGGAGGGAGAAGGCGAGACAGGCAGGCATGGGTTTGGCTGAGTGATTTTCCTTCCTCCCCTCCCCTCCCTTTCCCCTCCTACCTGCCTACCAGGGCCCAGCTGGATGCAGACTTCGGGCTGTCCAAAGAACAGCTGGAGCGGCTGACCGAGCGGGTGGTGCATCAAGTCACCTGGGGCACAAAGACTCTGCAGCGCCTTTTCTTGGTGGATGACATGATGGAGTCCCTCAAGGTGAGCCCCAGGCAACTAAGGAACCCCTTTCTAGCTGAGCATTGCGACAAACAACACCCCCTCCAGCCACCCCCCCAGCCTCTGCCAGAACTTTGCAGGCCACAAGGATGTCATCTTGAGCGTTCAGGCCCAGTTGATCCAAGGACCCCATGTCCAGCTAGATCGCACAGAATGGTTCCTCCATTAAAATCGACTTGCAACAGATTGCAATAAATCAGCATTTTTCAATCTTGGCCACCTCAAGACTTGTGGAGTTGAAGTCTTCACATCTTGAAGATGCAATAAACAGCCACAGAGATGCAGGCAAAATTCATCCCTTCTGTCACATGGACTTCGTTGGGCCCGGAGTCAGCAAGGACGTGCCAAAAACCAGGCTGTGCCATATGCCTCACTCTGGCCCAGCTTGCTTCCTCCTGACAGGGTGGGCACAGGCTGGACACCTAACTTTCCAGAGCCCTGGCAGGATGGGACCCTCTGCCTTTCCCTCCTGGGGTCTCAGCCGGTTCTGACTTTCAGCGTTCTTTTTTTTCAGTTTGCGTTCTTGTTCTACGTCCTCACCTACGTGGGAGCCGTTTTCAATGGTCTGACGTTGCTTATACTTGGTAAGGGGAGAGTCTGGGGGGAGAGGGCCTTCCCGAGTGGGGCCCTGCAGGAATAAGAGACTGACCCCCTCCTTGTCTCCCACAGGTGTGATAAGTGCATTTACCTTCCCTCTGCTCTACAGGCAGCATCAGGTGAGTAGCTGGCTTTGGGGGGGGGGGAGGAGGAGGAGGAGGAGGAGGAAGGTGCTGAAACTCACAATTGGCATTGAAAAAGGACCGGAGCAGAATTCATTCCTGCTGCCCTGCTTGCTTGGCTAAATATTTATCCTTGCTGATTAAGGCATCAGCCGTACAGGACACTACACCTCTCCACGACCTGTTTTCCTTGTTCCCTTCTGGGAGGGGGGGGGGGCTTTGTGGTACCCAAAGCAGAACATCCAGAGTCAGTCACAGTTTTGTTCCATGCAGTGTTAACCTTGTGAACGCTCAAGGTTCCTCTTCCCTCTATGTAATCAAGGTAGACAGTGATTAATGTTTATATGTTACTTATATGTAAGGGTGTAGGTCTATACATGTGTTGTTTATAGTATGTTTAAATGGGCGTTATGTATCTGCACTTTGAGAGCAAGCAACTAAATTTTATTTTTAATGTGTGCCATTGTGCCCACAGTAAAAAAATGACACTAAAGGTTATCTATCTATATATAGAATAAAACATGACACAATAGAATCATACATAAAAGCGGATAGGCTTTGACGTACAGCTACAAATTAGCCCAAAATTTCTGTTGCCATGTGAGACATTTAAGTGAGTTTTGCCCCATTTTATGACTTTTCTTGCCACAGTTGTTAAGTGAATCACTGCAGTTGTTAAGTTAGTCACCCGGCTGTTAAGTGAATCTGGCTTCCCCCATTGACTTTGCTTGTCAGAAGGTCGCAAAAGGGGATCACCTGACCCCAGGGGATGCTGCGACTGTTGTAAGTGTGAGTCGGTTGCCAAACGTCTGAATTTTGATCGCGTGACCAGGGGATGCTGCATTGGCCTGACCCCGAGGAGCAGATTTTCAAAAGTAGGAGGAGGGGCAGAGCAACAGCTGGTTCCATGTTCTTATTTTGGGAGGGTCTCATCCCTGTTTCTCCTCCTCCCTCCGTCCAGGCACAGATCGACCAGTATGTAGGGCTGGTGAGGAACCAGTTGAGTAGCCTCAGAGCAAAGTAAGTTCAAAAGATTCCAGCGCATCGAACGGGGCAGGGCGGGTGGGGAACAAGCCATCTGGAGGCCTCCTTGGGCTCCATGCTTCATGTATTGCTGACATAATACTTATTTAATTAATGTATATGCTGCCAACTTCACTGTTGAGTGACTCTGGGCTTAATTTTCTTAAATTATTTTTCCCCTTGGATCTAACATGCGAGCCCACAAAACACTTCTCAGAAGATAGCTATTTCTGCCTTATTTGTTGGGATAAAGGAAACTGGAATGTAAATTTGTAAAGAAAACATTTTAAAAATAGGGGCAATGCACTGGTGGGATTCAAATAGGTGAACAACCGATTCTCTGTGTGGATGCTGCTTCTGGAAGTCCATTCTGGTCCTGCTGGGCAACAAAAAATCAGCTACCATTTCTGCCGAAGTGGTGCGAACTGTCTGAATCCCCCACTGGGGCAATGGACCCCAAAGGGTCCAAGAAGTATTGGTGTGTTGCTTGACCGAACAGGGTGGTGTGTGCTTTGCCCTCAGGCTTGAACTGAAGCTTTTAAGGCTTTTAACAGGCTTTTGAGAAGGGACTGGACAGCCATTTGTCCAGAATGGCATAGGACAGGAGTGTCCAGCCTTGGCAACTTTAAGACTTGCGGAGTTCAACCCCCAGAATTCCCCAGTCAGCTGTGCTAGCCAGGGAATTCTGGGAGTTGGAGTCCACAGGTCTTAAAGTTTCCAAGTTGGCTATTCCTGGCACAGGATCTCCTGCTTGAGCAGGGGGTTGGACTAGAAGACCTCCAAGGTCTCTTCCAACCTTGTTAACTGAAGGTAGACTTGGTAAAATGCTTTGAAAAGTGGATTCCTCCTCTGTCTGTCTGACTCAGTTTCTCTTTTTCTCCCCAGGGTGCTGGCCAAATTGCCGACAGCAAAAGCGAAGGCAGAATGAGGGGTCTCCGTGGCGGTTCTCTTCCCTGCGCACACAGATGCAAAGGACAACGCACACCCTTGCTGCTGCTGCTGCTTCTTCCATTCCCCGCCCCAGCCATTGCAGTAGTGACCCTCCCTCTCCCAGTCCCCTTGGCCTGGAGGGGCTGGGCAGTTGCTGGTTCTCCTTCAGCTCCCCCCAGAAATTGGAGAACCCTTGCAAGGGGGGGCAAAAGACCATCTCAGCCCTGCAGTTGCAGCAGCTCAGGGGAGAGACCCCCCCCCAGGCCTACAGCCAAGGACTAGTCAACCAGGTGCTGAGGGCTAGTATCCCATGCTCCTTTCTCCCTCCGTGTCCTGGCGACTTCCTCCTCCTCCTCCTCTTCCTCCTCCTCCTCCTCCTGCCTGCAGTATTCCTCCTGGGTCCTGACTTGAGGCCAGCCAACCTGGAGCATGCTTTCCTCTTGAGGAAGGGGAACCGCTCGAGGTTGGGCAGGACCCCCCCCCTGCCCCCTGTCTGTGGGATGTTGTAGCTGTGGCCCACTGCCTCTCATCATGGGCCGGGCTGCGGCTTGGCTGATCAGCTGGCAGGTTGGGTGCACCTGGTTCGTTTTGCCTGGATATTTACACTTTAATAAAAAGACTTGTGAGAAAAAATGGGTATGCATGACCCCTTGGTCTCCCGAGTCTTCACTTGTGCACTGTGTGGGTGTGTGAATGTGTCTCCTTGCCGAAATTCTTTTTTTTTTTTTTTTGCTCCTCCATACCAAGTAATAAAGTCTAGTTCAGGGGTCTCCAATCTTGGCAACTTTAAGACTTGTGGACTTCAACTCCCAGAATTCCCCAGTCAGCCATGCTGGCTGGCTCAGGAATTTTGGGAGTCATAAAGGGACCATTGCTCCCCACCCGATTTACCTGATCATGCCTGACTATCTAGTTTACTATATATATAAATATATGTATTTATTTAAAACTACAAGTTTGTGTTGACTTCCCTGACTCCATTTTGGACATTGGCTGTGCAATTTGCTGACGGAGGCAACCTCTTCTCCAGAGCACCCGAAGGCAGGACAAGAAGCAACGGACGGAAACTCATCAAGGAGAGAAGCAGCCTGGAACTAAGGAGGAACTTCCTGACAGTGAGGATAATTAACCAGTGGAACTCCTTGCCTCCAGAAGCTGTGAATGCTCCAATACTGGAAGTCTTTAAGAAGAGACTGGACAGCCACTTTTCTGAAATGGTATAGGGTGTCCTGCCTGAACAAGGGGTTGGACTGGATGACCTCCAAGATCCCTTCCAACTCCAGCTATGCCGGCTAGGGAATTCTGGGAGCTGAAGTTCACAGATTTGGAGATCCCTGGCCTAGGACAACTGCCATTGGAAGCCATACGCCACCTGTGCCTACCAGCCTTCCTTGGTTCACCCCAGCACTGAGGCGTGGGTCAGACTAGAGTGGGAAGGCCTGATGCAAAACCCCTGGATCCTGGGGGGATTCTGGGACAGCCCCTCACTCAATGAACCTGCTTCCCAGTGTGGTGGTTGGGAAAATACAGGAGGGGAAAATATAATCCGTGCCACTTGCATCTCCTGGAGGAAAAGCGAGATTTATTAAAGGAAGAAGCCCACAACAATCCATCTTCGCCAAACTCTGCAGAAGGACTTGATGCTTGGGAGGAAAGAGGAGCCCCTGGCCAGCTGCCAAGTGGAGGGGGCCAGTTTCAGGGGTGATGGGGGCACGGATGGGAGGCCTTTCGGGGGAGGGGCCCTCATGGGTGAGGCACGCAGTCCCTGGCACTCTGGAGCAACTTGGCCGTCAATCGGTCTCCCTCCAGCTTGGCTGGGTGGGAGTGTGGCCAGCAGAGGGAGCCCAAGGACCACAACAGCTCAGCCACCGCTGGAAACCCCAGGCAGTCCTCCACTTACGACCACGGCTGAGCCCAGAATTTCTGTTGCTAATGGAGACAGTTGTTACGAGTTTTGATCCATTTTATGACTTTTCTCACCACAGTCGCTAGGTGAATTGATGCAGTTAACTTAGCGACACAGTCATTAAGTGAATCTGGCTCCCCCATTCTTTGTTTGTCAGAAGGTCCAAAAGGGGATCACGTGCCCCTCCCCGAGACGCTGCGACCGTCGTAAGTACATGCTGGTTCCCACATGCCTGGATTTTGATCACGTGACCCTGAATGGGCGCTGCAATGATTGTGTGAAAACCGAGCGTAAGTCACTTTTTTCAGTGCTGTTGTAACTTTGAACAGTCACTAAATGAACTGTTGTGAGGACTGCCTGTATTAGAACTTGTGAAAGGCTGTGAGGGGGGGGCAGGTTGATCCCGAGTGGCTGGGCCGGCTGCTGCTGCTGCCGCTGGACAAGGCAGGGCCAGTGGCCACCCTCCTCCAGGATCAGGAGCCAAAGCGAGGAGGGGGCAGAAGGGAGGCCAGCACAGACCCGGGGGCCGTGGGCTGGACTGAGTGGGGTGCAGGAGACCAGCAGGAGGCAGTGGGGCAGCAGCCAGCCACTTCTCAAGAGCCTTCTTTATTCAAGGAGGGTTTATTCACCGTAGACTTTCACCACTCAGTGGAGCCTCCATATGCAACAGGACTCTACCTCAACAATCCCAGGAGATCAGATCTTAGCAGAAGACACCACCAGACAATAAACATGCTTGTTTTTAACAGGAGTGACGAAGCCTTGGTGGATCTTGGGGTGACACCAGGAAGTCCCCTGCAAGGGCTTATCAGCCCCACCCAAGCCCATCACCCGGGACACCGAGAGTGACAGCAACGGGCAACCGGGTCTCAGCGTGGAGAAAGCCAGGCGGATCTACAGCTTGAGATCTTTTATTGCACCTCATTTTTTTTCTTTACATGAATTTGAAAAAATAGATCATATATTCATCATAAAAAGTGCATTTTTTCCAAAGCTGTCTTTATTTGCTGTTTTGCTGACCAGTTAAATGCAGGATAGGCGGGCCAAAGCAGGGGACTCACTTCGCCTTCCCTCTACCGGCCCTCAGATGGCTTCATCAAATACATCACAAAAAAATATTACAGCACAAAGGGGTAAATAACAATAATTAAAAATAAAAATATTCCCCCAACCCCAGCAAGGATCTCTTTTGGCTTTTTTGTTTTTTAAAAAAGTTGGTTAAATAAAAGTCCATAGGTTAAAAAAATAAGATAATTAAAAAAAAACACAACATCCAAAGCTTGGTCACAAGAAGTTTTGGAAACATTCAGTATAGCATCTTGGCGAGCTCTAAGGAGCCGAGAAGCAGCACAGCAGCTTTCTCAGCCCAGAAACGCACTCCAGGCGGCTTAAGCAGAGGCACGGGAGGGAGCAGGGGGCACAAGGCACCCCACAAATGCAGAGCAGCCGAGGGCCCCCAGCACAAAAGGGAAAGTGGCCCTGGGGGGGGCTCGGGGGCCGCTCTCAAAGAAAGCGCACTTGGCACAGCTAGAGGGTGGGGGGCCCAAGAGCCCCCCCGGCCAGGAGAAGCAGCCTACATGCCACAGGCCTGGAAAAGCAGCAGTGTGATTAGACCAAGGCAGGGGAGGGGGAGGCAGTGAGCCGCTGAAGGGGTCACACTCCACACTACCAGTCTAAAGCAGCAGAGACAGACCCAGAAGCCTGGCCTGAGAGCAGACCGGCTGCAGCTGACCATCCTAAGTGGGGTAATGCAGTGAGTTCGAGGTGCAACTGGCCAAGGTCAGGAAACATAAACCCAGTTCCCAACTGCAGGGAAAGCGGTCACTCCCAGAGGTCCCTTCACAGTATTTGTCACCCAGCCCTGACCTCCACCCAGCCCCTCCAGAGACCAGGACCCTTCAAAGAAACGGAGGGAGGGAGGTGGCCAAAGGAAGTGGATCCCTTCTAGGGAATGCAGAGAGTCCACTGGTCAAGCCCACCGGGTGGATGGACTCACTGAAAGCACCGCCTGGGCCTGGCAAGGAGAGGCCAGCCCAACTACCACAACACTGCAAGAAAAATCTCAGCTGGTCTGGGTTTTTTTGCAGGCCCCACTTTCCTTTGGCTTCTCGAAAGTTTCAGATTTTACCATTTCCTCCCAGATAAAAGTGTTTCTGTATCGCTCATCAATCCCATTTCCAAAACTGGAAACCGGAATAAATCTTTGAAAGTCGACCCTGACTTGATGGCACAATTAATTTGCTTGGCTGAAGGTTTCAGGGAGAGTCGAATGCCCACCAAAGAAATATCGCCCGGACCTCGGAGAATCCAATACCCAAAATCAGTCTTACAATTTGCAGAAGTCCACAGACGATTAAGAAGCAAGGCTGCAGCATTTTGGCCCACTTTAATATGACAAAAGCTTTCAGCAGGAATGTGCCCAAGTAATCCACACAAAGTCTGCCCTGACCGGCCACTTAATGCGGCTTTTTCATCCTAGAGGAAGCAGATCCTGTAGAAAGAGAGCCCGGGTGATCCAACACTCAGGATGCGAAGTTGACTTGCGAAAGCGGTAAAGTGCCAGTTTTAAAACCATGCAGCTAACACAGTTCACAAAGCCACCACAAGACGGGAGCTGGGTGGGGGCAGCACAGGGGGGGGTCTTCCCCCTTAAGTTTTCCTCTCCGCAGGGCAGCCCCCTGGCACGGCCCCCTTTGACAGCAACAGTGGTGAAGCGTAGAGAGAAACGGCATTGTCCAGATCCACCAAGTGTGCCAATTCAGTAGAAGGCAAATCCTGTTTCCAGGGGAAAAGATGGGCTGGGCGCCCTCCGAGGAGAGGGACCCAGCAACGTCCTCCTTTCTCCTCTCGATGTGGGCATCGGCCAAGGAGGGGGCCAAAGGACAACCATCGGCTCCACCGTGTGCTGCACCCCCAAGGAGGGAATGAGCGCATCGCAAGGGTTAGAGGCCTCGGCTGCAGCAGAGCGGGTTAGAGGCTCCCAGGCGGTGCGCCCAGGCGCATTGGGGTTCTGGCCCTTTTTGCCCAGCCCGGCAATGGCAGGGGTGGGTGGGCGGGCAGGCTAGACCCAAAGGCGCAAGTTGTGGGTTTGAATGTCACAAAGCAAGGAGCGAGGGGGAGTTCAGAGAGTCCGGGGAGTGGTCGCTGCTGCCGTTCCGCTGGTGGATGGCTCCGCAGGTGGCTCCCTCTGGGTAGGTGAACACAAACGAAGATGTATAGGAAGGGTTAACTGGGTACGGCTCAGTCAGCTCTTCAGCATGGCTAAAGTAAGAACTAGAAAACGCTACCTCCGCCGGGGCCGGGGCTGCGGCTGGGAGTCCGCCCAGGACCTGCTGGTAGTGCAGAGGCACCGAGGAGTAGGGGACCGAGGGCCCAAAGGGGTCCTCCTTGACCGGCATGGCCAGGGCGCTGACCTCTGCCGAGGGGCCGGGCTGCCCACTCAGTTCCGTGATGTCCTGGTAGGGGATTTTGCAGCTGCCCTTGTGAGCCACGAGGACGAATTCCAGACGCTGCCGCTCCTTCTGCAGCTCCGCGATCTCCGACTCCAGCTCGGCTTTCTCTTCCTCCAGCTGGTCCGTCTCCTGGGGAAGAGGCAGCACCGGTCAGGCTGGGGCTGGAGCAGCCGGGAACTGGGGGGGGGAGGCAACTGGGTTGGCCTGGAGCGGCGCTTGTCTGCTCCTTGTCTGCTCCTTCCAGGCCCGTTGGAGACGCAGCTCAAGGGAAGCATTAATTGTTGGGACCCCTCCACACCCCCTCCCGAACCCCATCTTCCAGGCTGGCCCCTGCTTGAAGGGGCAGGGACGGGGTCCCTCCCAGGGAAGACCTCTGGCCTCTGCGGGGCTTCGGGGGTCCTTGTTTGTGGATTTGGCTTGGGCTGTGGCTCGCTGCAGCAGACCCCCACAGGATCTTGGTGAGGGAGGCAGAGGAAGCTTCTCCTCTCCCCAAATGGCCCATGAGTGCAGGAGGAGGAAAAGGTCCAAGGGGGCCCCTTCCTCGGCCACCCCCAAGCAGGCCGCTGGAAGACCCAGACCCGGAGGGCTGGTGGAGCAGCATCATCCCCAAACCTTACTTTCGGGAAACGCTGCCAAGTGCGGTCAGAAAAGTCAGGATGGCGTCGGCAGCAGCACAGAGGAAATTCTGCTGGCTTTCCAGCAGCTGCAATGGCAGCTTTGGGGCTGCGTTCTTGATTTTTTGACCGCACCCCACAGACGCCCCTGCCCCCTTGGAATAAAAGAATGAGCGATTCTAATTCAAAATCAAACATCCCTCCTCCTAAAAACAGATCAGAGCAAGTCCTCTCAAGGTAAAGTAACTCAAGGCCAGGGATCTTTCCTGACGACTGGATCCTCGCTTAAGCAGGTCCGAATGGCCGAAGCCTTTGACTTAAGAGTCAGAATGACATTTGAGGGACACGATCAGCCTGGATGGGGCTCCCACAGAGCCCTAATGAAATGGGGGGGGGTTGACAACATGCACCCCATGGGGCAGCCTCTGTGCAGCCACAGCAGGGACAAGACACCAGATTCCGTCCTGGGGTGCTTTACAAGGAACAAGGATAACATTAACTCAGAACAAGGATAACATTAACTCAGCCCCCCCCCCCCGTTTGCACCAAAACTCACCGCTTGGAGCCGGTCGGTCAGTTCTCGTCGTCGATTCCGGCACTTGGCGGCCGCCAGCTTGTTCCTCTCCCTGCGGACCCGGCGCTTCTCTTCCTCCTCAGGGGTCAGCTGTGCGAGCAGAGAGAAGAGACAGATCAGGCCAAGGGGCCTGGCACTTCCTTGCAACTGGAGGGCAAGTTAAAGGCACCCCCAAAATGCGGAGGGGAAGATGGAACTGGGTCCTCACCCTCTGTGACGGAGGGAAGGGGGGAGGGAAACCAAACAGCCGCTTGCCTATTGGAACACTTTAAAGATCTTTAAAGCAAATTTATTTCAACCCCAGTTCAGTTTTCAAGGCTTGTTTTTATGGTTAAGGCTGGTTTTTATCATGTTGGTTTTGCTTTTCATAACCTTAATGCCTTGTAACCTACCCAGAATCTTTTAGATAAGGTGGTCTATAAAACCTGTAAATTAAATAAATAGACCTAGCATATTTCTAAACTGATAATGCTCTAAATTGGGGTGGGGGAAGTACCATGAAATGTTTTTTTCCCATGAAACTCAAGAGTCTGTGTGCCTTACAAGAGGGGACTCTGCATGCACTGAAGTCCACTAGTCTTAAAGTTGCCAAGGTTGTTTATGAGAGAAACAGCGCTTAGATTTATCTACCGCTTCAGGCTGCTTTTACAGCCCCCTCTAAGCAGTTTACAGAGTCAGCCTCTTGGCCCCAACAATCTGGGTCCTCGTTTTACCAACCTCGGAAGGATGGAAGGCTGAGTCAACCTTGAGCCGGTGAGGATCAAACTGCCAAACTGCGGGAGGCCAGCAGAAGGAGCCTGCAGTGCTGCACTCTGACCACTGCGCCACCACGGCTCTCGACATATCTCCTCCTCAAGGCATGTCAAATCAGAATAGTACCTTATAGCCGCAAGTAACTCGCCCAATGTTGGTTAATGCAGCTTTTGGTTCAGCAGAACTAGCTTCTGTTTGGCCCCAAATGTGGGGCTGGCAGAACTCGTCCTTTGGATTTCCTGGTACATTTGAAGCCATAAAGGATCATCAAGATGATCTTTGCAACCCCTCAAACTCATCGCACCAGGAAGTTCCGTTTTCCAGATTTTTTTAAATTTTTCAAAACTGAATGCGAGCTTAGCAAATTGCAGCGCACCCATTGCTGCCCTACCTGTATCTTCCTCCCAAGACCTTCTTAGAGAATAGAATTGGGGAAGGGGGCTGCCTGCCAGGTGCTCTGTATTTCTTGAGGTGAATGTGTGTTTTTGTGAGCAGCAGCACGCCACACAATTCCCATTTTGTGAAAACACCCACAATGGATTCTCAGTGGTGGATGGACTGTTAGGGTGCTGGGGACAGTCCACAGGAAGCCCTACTTCTTCTAGCTATATTAAGCCCCGCCCCCAAGGCATCCCAACTTCCAAGGACACAGTACAGAAACTGGGAATTTCTTCTGGAAGATCTCAAACTTTCAGCAAGCAAAGGGAACAGAGTTCATGATCTCCTGGCCGAGGAAGGAAAAGCAGCTCACCGTTTCTTCCCGTGTCCTTCGGGGCCGGGCCCTGCTGGACCGAGGTGGGGTGGCCGCAGCCATGGGGGCGGTCGAAGGGCCAGCCCCATAGGTGCCCATTCCCGGGGCAGCGTAACTGGGGCCGGGCAGGTCATAGGGGTCCACTGTGGGTGGAGGTTGCCCCGAAGGCTGCGGCGGCGGCGGCGGCTGCTGCTGCTGCTGCTGCTGCTGAGACTGGGCCATTGAGGAAATCAAGGTAGGCTGCACCAGCCACTGGAGGTCTTGGCTTGTGGATATAGCAGTCACTGTTGGCACAAAAGATCCGGGCATTTCCCCAAGGCCGCTGCACTCCTGGAGGGAAGCGAAGGGGTCACGTGCTCATTAGGGGGTCTGCTTTGAAGGACGGTTCCACGGGCATCCCACGCCCAAAGTGGTCCCCATTTGCACTGCTCCGGTGTCCAGCATGCAGGGGCCCAAACTTGGGGGGGTCACCAGCCAGAGGGCAGCGCCCAGAGCTCAGGGCGGGCTCCCGAAGCCGAAAGCCGGCTCTAAGCCCTGGCCGGGACCCCGAGCGCTGCTTAGCGGGGGCTTCATCCTGGCCCGCTGGCCAGCCGAGATCAGCCCGTGGGGAGGCACGAGCCTCCGCACCCGGACCGGGAGGCGGGCACCCCGGCGGGCTCCGTTCCCCAGACCCAGGGGCTCCCCGAGGTCGCCCGAGCCGGGCAGGGGCGGGAGCGAAGCCCGGGGGAAGCCGCGCTCTCGGCCAGGGCGGCACCTCGAGACCCATCGTCCCCAGCGGGCAGGAGGTCCGGCGCTCGGCGGGGAGGCGAGCCAAAGCGCCGCTCCTCGAGCGCCGCCGGGCAGGGGCGTCATGGCAGAGGCCCATCCGGGCAGCCCCGCAAGAGCCCGCCGCCCGCGCCCCGCGTGGTGACCGGCCGGGGCAATCGCGGCGAACGCAGCCGGCGAAGGGGCGGGTCGGAGGGGGCGCGGCCCGGACGCCAGTCGGCCAATCCGCGCGGCCCTCCGCCCTGCTCCTCCCCTTAGCAACGGGGGCGGGCCAGCCTTCCAAAATAACCCGCGCGCCTAGGGGAGGAGGAGGGGGAGGAAAACGCGCCGTACGTGCCTCACGTCAGTACGAAGCGTTCCAGTACGTCATGCGTTACGCACAACCCCGCCCCCCCTTTCTCGCTCGCGTTCTCGCCTCTCCTCCGGCGCGCGTGCATGGAGGGATGGGACGGAGTTGAATGCGGACGGCGGGGAGGACTTGGGGGGAGAGGGCGGCGACCCCCTTTGCAACGCCTCGAAAGGCGCGGCGCCCGGAGGCCCCGGGAAAGACGCTCCGCGCGCAGGAAGAGCCCCCCCGACGGGCCATGCAGGCGGGGGAAGCGAGCGGACCCCTCCAAGTCTGCCCATGAGAGGGGCGGGGGGCGGGAAGGGAAGGACAGACGAGGGTCGCAAAGCCCCCCCCCCCCCCGATCGGACCATCCGCGCTGCTCCCGCCCTCCGCGGAACCCCCAAGACCCGCAGCCGGGCGACCCTTCCTTACCTGCGAGGAGGCGGCGGCGGGGACCGTCGGGCTCCCGAAGGAGTCCACCGAGGAGAGGTCATGGGACTCGGCCGAGGGGGACGAGCTGCACCGGGAGGTGGAGTCGTAGTCTCCGGGGAAGCCCTGATACATTTCCCCCGGGGGCGCAGGCGGGAAGCCGCGGCCGCGCGGGGGTCGTCTGGAAGCCAAGATGAGGGGCGACCGGGCCAGCCGGCGAGCAAACGGCCGGCCGAGAGTGTCGCCCCGCCGCCGCCGCGAGGTCGGTCCGGCGAAGTTGCCTCCGAGCGGAAGCGGCTGGCTGTGCTTCTCCTTCCTCCCCCGGCGGCCGTCAGTGCCCGCGGGGCAGGCGGCGTCCTCAGCGGCGGGGGGCTCGCCCGGTCCTAGATCCACGTGTTGCAGCGGCGGGGCAGCGCCGGTGGCAGCGTCCGCTCGAGTCCGCCGGTTCCCGGGAGGAGCGCTCCTGCCTCCGGTTCCTGCAGCGCCCGCAAAGCCCGGCGCCTCGGCTCAGATCGTGGCGGCCACGGGGACGCGAGCGAAAAGCGGAGTCCAGCGCCGCCGGGATCCCTCGCGGCTCCGTCTCCGTCGCGGGTCAAAATCTTATGAATGAAGCGCGCCCGACAGCCGGGCTTATTTATGCAAGGAAGGGGCGGGTCCCTGCTCACGTCACCACTTTGGGGTCGCCGAAACCAGGCTCCCGGGCCGCCTGCGCGCCCCAAACTCGAGCGGTGGCTTGCTCCGGTCCCGGCGGCTCCTCCAGCCCAGGAGGGTCTCTCGGCGGCCCCGGCAAAGGGGTCTTTTTCAAGCTTTTTCAGGCGCCAGAGCAGGGGATCCCTTGCTCCGCCCTGCGGGTGTTCCTGTGACGCAATTAACCATATTTGGTCTTGTGCTGTGTTTGTTTGGTATCCTTAGCAATACGTCAGAGGGAATCCCTTTCTGCTAAGCCGCGCTGCTGCGGCCGCACCAGCCGCGCTGATCCGCCCCCTGAGCGCGCGCGGCTTTTGTTGGATATTAATAGAAACTTTTACTATATTCGAGAAACGGCATGAAAGCTCCGCGGCGGGCAGGGAAGCGCGCAGAGGAAAAGCTTTCTCCGGCCGCCGCGGACAAGCGATGCACGGTCCCCCCCCCCCAGCCAGGGAAAGGAGCATATGCTGCACCCCGGCAGGGCCGTTAATGTGGGGAGCTCGCTGCCCCAGGGTGGAAGGACGGCGGCCTTTCCGCCCAAGGGAGCCCGATTCCCGAAGGAAGGTCCACGCCCAGCCCACCGTTGGGGTGTTAAAGCTTTCTTCCCCAGGCGAAGTATTCAGGTGTTTATGGCCCACATTCCCACAACCACAGCAAGGAGGATTGGCACCTTGAGGCCGAAAATGTGCGCTTTTTTATTCTGTATTGTCATTTAACCAATGCCAGAGCCTGCATTCAGCTGTGCTGTGGGTCCCAGAGCCCCTCAAGAGACCAGTGGGCACCCAGTCCCCCTAATCTCCAGGTGTGGTTTCATTCATAATCAGATGTATTACCATTTCCAACAACCGCTCTGCCACTTTACAGAGAGGACTCTAACGGAGCTGCCATCTGAAACTGCCACCGGCTGGGTCAGCCAGGCTAACCAGTTGCCCTTTAGCTGGCTCTGGGTTTGAACCCTGCCTGTGGGGGCTAGTTTCTAGGTCAGTGTGTTTCCCAAACTCATGAACTGGGTTAATTGAGCAAGACGTGGTTGACCTTACCAAGAAGATGGATGCATTGCAAAGTGCTGCCCCCCCCAACCTCCCCGCCCAGCCCCACACGCACCCCCAGCAGCTCTCTAGCCTGCAAAGCCAAGAAAAGTTTATGTTTGGGGTGAGAAGTCTTGAAGGGCTGGAAACTCTATCTCGGCCTTGCAGATTTTCCAGTTGGATGGAGCCTGTTTGAGGAGAGAGCGGTTAGAAAGAAAGGCAGGAACTTTACTTCACTTTGCGTCTATACACAACCCCTCCCTTACCTGACCTTTCTGGAGCTTAGATAAGACGTTCACACCCTCCTCCACTCTGAATAGAGCCAGCCTGCTCTCCCCTGTGGCTGGGGGTGTCACGGGGTATATGCATTACCCAGTCGGGTGCCAGGCAGAATGGAGCTTTGAATCTCAGGGGCTGAGAGCGTTCATTTTTTCCCTGGTAAATGTTTATTAAATTTGGCTGCTGCCCATCTCACTACAAGACAACCCTCGGTGGCTTACAAACATTTCATTACAGTGAAATAAGAAGCATAGTTGAAAGAGGTACCTGCAGTTGTCTTATCCATGTTTAGCTAAATCACAGTTTAACCAAACCCTTGGCTTGGCAGAACTCACTCACCCCTAACCTACTTCTTTTGTACAGAGTGTGGTTGACTCTTGGCGGTTCAGAGTGTCGTGTAAAGGGAGTCACAGAAAGGCAGACTCAGTAGCTCAGGGCTCAGTAGAAGGGAAACCACCTTGGCAGGGCAGGGAGTCCCTGCACAGAGGCAGGGATTGCCTGAGGAAAGCCCCGCCCTTCGCTTGGGAAAGGCTCAGCCATCCTTCCTTCTGGGTGAAAGGCTTGGCCGTTCTCCCCACAGCAAAATTGCAGCTGATATGGAAGAGGCTTTACGATGTGGGTCTCCATGCTAGCCTGGCTGCCTCTTTCCCTCTGTAATCTGTGGAATGGGCCAGTCGAGACTCTCCCCGTCAGCTGTAATCTTTTGATCTACTCCAGATGTGCTTTGGAGAACATCTGGTTATGGGACTGCTTGCAGAAGATTTGCTGAGCCAGGATCATCTGGTTTTCCTTGGCTTTGAATTAGTATTTGAATTCTACCACCAATCAGCAAGCCTGGCGGTAGAAACTCCGAAAAAGTTTTGAGCTTCTTAGAAGTCTGAAGCTTATATCCATGTTTACATCAGGGAGACAGAATGACAAGACCCGGCCTGGTGACCGGGCGCCTGCTTGGCAGCCCCAAAACCTTCCTGGAAGGGGCAGTTTCTGCTCTGGGACCTTTGGAGAAACTGGGGCTGAGTTGGGTGAAGAGAAGCATCTGTCTTCACTTCTCTGGAATTCTCCCCATCCGTCTGATGGACACCCTTTGCAGAATGGTACCGAGGCTGCTGACTGCATGAGTGTGGAATTGACCCATTTCTGAACCTCTGACAGCTGAATGTGTGAATTCACTCCTTTGCGCTGCCTGTAATAATAGCCCTCAAGTGCCCTACTCTGGAAGGTTCCTTTAAGTTTTGATTCAGTTTTCTGCACGTCTAAATGAATGCAAATGCTGTCCTTGGTTGCTGGGTCCATGAATGTAAACAGGGAGGAACGATCCGTGCTGCTCTGTTCCAGCAAGGTGTTTGTCCCCAATTCGGTAGGAAACAGGAAATCCATGGTCCTCTGGCGGAGAACATGTTCAATGCGTTGGGGCAGAGCAAGTGAAAACACTGTAGGCCTCCAGAAATGCGGGTCATGATCTGAGATAAAATTCCTGCTGCATTGGCTGGGAAGTGCTGGGGGGGGAGGCACTGGAAGCCGAATGCCAGCCATGAATGGAGGCATCTCTCTAAGTAGAGCACCCGCTTATAAATTTAGCAGCAAGCCAATAATCCGTCCTTCTCAGAACAAGTCTTGCAAATGCGCCCAAGGACACAGTCGTGCTCAGAAAGAGCTGGGTGGATTTGAGAGTCCCACGCAGCCCACAGAGCGTGTGGCAGGAGGAGAGGGGGCTCCAGGCTGAGCTCCTGTGGGCAGGGAGGGGGGAACAGCAGGAACCAAAGGGGTTTAAGTGTAAACTCTTCACCTTTGCCCTTGTAATCTGTTAGATCAAGAACCGCTTCCTCTGAGCATCTGGTTAATGTATAATCCCAGAAGTTGAGAAGCTTGGGGGGGGGGCTCACTCCTGGGTAAATCTGGAAAGCTGCTCTGATGGTCTCCTCCGCTCTTCCGTGGGGGTCACACTGGCTGACCTCAGACGTCTGACAGTCTTAAACAAGGCATACCCTGGGGCCCTAGAGGAAGTATTAAAGAGTAAGAGATTCTTCTAGGCATACACAGAGTGCCTTCCTTTTCCACTTTCCCCATCCTGGCACCTTTGAGGGTGGCCTTTGGGGATCTTGGGAGGAAGGTGCCCAAAATATGTGCCCTTCCCCTCAACCTCTGAGGTGGGTAAAAAAGTAGGTCAGGGGGAACACTCATTTGGGATGCAACTATTATCAAACATGTACAGAGTTTATTTTTCAGGGCGGCTGGCATTTTAAAAATAAGGCATCATTAGACTCTGGTATACAGCTTGTTCCGGTTTCGGCTGGGGCTGGGTGTGAGCAGCGTTTGTTCCCAGCGGCAAGAAACTTTCTAATCCGGTCGGTTGTTTGCATTCCACCCAGCCTGGCTCATAACCACAGAAGGAAGAGAGCGCGAGAGCCCCTGGCAGCCGCCACAGTCAGATCACACAAGGCCCGGCCAGCGGCAGGCCAGACACAAATAATGACAAAGTGGGACCAGGACATTTTGCCTGGTGACCAAATATAGCTCTTGCCCGCCTGCCCCACCAGCAATCAGATGGGCCAGGCTGGGCTATTCCGGTTCTTGCCCTGCCCTGCCACCCCGTCTGCTGTCTAACCAAAGGACCCCACCGGATGGAAAACCTGGGGCACCCAAATGGGCACCCCTGCTTCGCAAAGTCTTTGGGTGGAGCGCCAAATGTGCAGGAAGTGCTCTCAGGTAGTGACAGGTAGGTCTGGCAGGGCACGGCACCCGGTGCCTTGAAAGGGTCAGTTTTCCTCACCTGAATGCAGTTCAAATTTAGCTGTTGTAGCTGGACATCTGGGTGTTATAGTCCAAATGGTTCCATGCTGGGGATGCAGTGGGCCATAGAATCTTGGGTTTGGAAGATTTGGGCGGGGGAATCTAATCCAGCCTTGGCAGGAATCCTCACACCATTCTGGGCAAACGGCTGCCCAACTTTCCTTTGAAAAATTCCACTGGTGGAACTGCCTGGAGTTCAGAGGGGCAGCTCTCCCACTGCTTCAGACTCCTCCCTCCTTTCAGCTCCTCCATTGGAGTTTGCGTCTCTTCCTGTGAAGCTTCCACCTGGCCTGCCTTCAGGAGCCACACCAGGGTGAGAAGATGTTCTCTTCCTTAATGACCAGGTTCCACTCTGCGGCATTTCACCTCCAGGCCCTGGACGGTCCCTTGTCGCACTTGCCGCAGGTTTTCCAGGTTCTCCGCATCCTCTTTTGTATTATGGCATCCAGAACCAGACAGAATATCCCAGGTGGGACTAACCAGGGCAGGAGGAGCGATGCTATAATTTCTCATGTTTTATATCGTGCGGCAGTCGCTGCTGCCATTAAACTCAGCTGGTCAGGCTTGTTTCTCCCCGTGGCAAGTCCTTTCTAACCAAGCATAGGCTAATTTGAGATTTTAAAATCTACTAGCTAGCATCTACCTAATAAATCAATAGTGACTGGCTGGCTGTCGCCAAGCTGCAATTGAAGACACCAGAATTGGCTGGGTTCACATGATACAATTATCATTTTATCGTTTTGTAAACTGCTCAGAATTCCTGTAACAGTGAGATGGACAGCATTTAAATTTAATTAATAAAATAAATGATCAATAATATAATG